TCATTAAATGCTGTCAGAAAAAAAAATGCAGAATGATATTTAAGTTGCATATGGAATGATCTTGCATAAGTATATTACTCCAATTTATATTTTCCAATTTGGAGATAGGCTAAAATTTCAATATTTCAAAAGCACTATTTAAATAATTATGTTAAAAAAATCATGTAGCCTTCTAACATCTTCCTTGAGAGCAATCAGTCATCAATCAATAGGCATTTATTAAGCACCTATTATATGGCATGCACTGGGCCAGGTGCTGAAGATGCAAAGAAAGAAACAATATCAATGAAACATCCTCTGCTTTCAAGGGTAATGCATTTTATGTATGTATGCTACAAACATATACACATATATGTACATACGTACATATACATACATATATGTATATATGTTTATATGTGCATATATTCCTCATACAGCTGCCTGGCATCAGAGAGAATGTGAAATTGGCCTGGTATTCCCTCCTCTGGGAAAAGTGCATAAGAGAGTTTGGGTGGATGAGCTAGTTCCAGATTCCCTGATATCAACATCTCTAGACACTCCTAGCACACTGAACCTAATAAATATGTTAATTTTTTGTAGTGCTTAGACTCTCTCACTTGTCCTAAGTTTCTTTGATCATTGTTAGAGAATTTCCCTTGGATCCTATCTCCGATATCAGCTGCTCTTATTACTTCCATTTCTGATTTAAGTACGTTAGATCCTGTTGCTGTCTTTTCCTCTGACTTCCGCATTATATAAAACATAACTTAGCCCCTGTTCCTTCTCCTGTTTTTTTTTCTTTTATAACTTGGTCTTATCTTAAGGATTTCTTTTTGTTTCCATTCCCTTCAGAATTTATAACTGTCATTCACCTATCAGATTAGCTAATGTGACAAAAAAAGGAAGTGATGGATATTGGAGGGGATGTGGGAAGACTGAGACACTAATGCATTGTTGGTGGAGTTGTGAACTGATCTGACCATTCTGGAGAACAATTTGGAACTATGGCCAAAAAGTTATAAAACTATATATACCCTTTGATCCAGCAAAACCATTGCAGGGTCTATATCCCAAAGATGTCCAAAAAAGAGAAAAGGAACTATTTGTGCAAAAATGTTTATAGCAGCTCTTTTTTGTGGTGGCTAAGCATAGGAAATCAAAGGGTTGCCCATCAATTGGATAATGGCTAAAAATGCTGTGGTATATCATTGTAATGTAATATTATTGTGCTATAAAAATGACAGGCAGAATGATTTCAGAAAAAACCTAGAAATACTTACATGAACTGATGAAAAATAAAGTGAACAGAACCAGAAGAACATTATACATAGTAAAAGCAATAGTATTTGATGAAGAACTATGAATGAATTAGCTATTCTCAGCAATATAATAATCCAAGACAACCCCAAAGGACTAATGATGAAGTATACTATCCACCTGCAGAGAAAGAAGTGATATTGTTTGAATACAGACTGAAACATGCCATTTTCTCCTTCTTCTTTCCTTCCTTCCTCTCTCCTTCCCTCCCTCCCTCCCTCCCTCCCTCCCTCCCTCCCTCCCTCCCTTCCTTTCTTTCTTTCTTTCTTTCTTTCTTTCTTTCTTTCTTTCTTTCTTTCTTTCTTTCTTTCTTTCTTTCTTTCTTTCTTTCTTTCTTTCTTTCTTTCTTTCTTTCTTCCCTTCTTTTTCTTTTATTTGAGTGTTCTTGTACAAAATGACTAATATAGAAATGTTTTACATGGTTGCACTTGCATAACCTATATCCAGTTGCTTACTATCTCATAGAGGGGAGAGAGGAGGGAGGGAGGGGTAGAATTTGGAACTCAAAACTTTAAAAACAAATGTTAAAAATATTTCAACATGTAGTTGGCAAAAATAAGATATATATATATATATATAATATATATATATATAATATATGTATATATATATATATATATATATATATATGTTAACAAATAAGAAAGTTTTAAAAAAAGAATTTATGAATGTCCTATTGACAATTGCTAAAATAAACTCCAGGTCTTGATCACAACCTGCTGGTCTTGGACCTATGGTTTCACACCCTCTCCAATATCCCTCCTTAATACACACCATAGCCCCAATATCCCTCCTTAATATACACCATAGCAATGTATTATCAAGCTAGATAGGACAATCTATCTTTCAACTATTACCAACATCAAAATGATTGCAAACCTTGTGATTTTCCCAGCTGACAACGTGCTTTGGCCATGATTTTGTCTTTCAATAGTTGGGCTTTGGCTCATTCTTTTTGACCCCATTTTGCTTTCAGTCTCTTTTTTGCTTTTGGAAATTTTATGATGAGATGAAGTTCCAATGTGGCAAAAGGGATGTAGGTACTTATTGAATAGTCTAGGATGTTTTCTTCTCTGCACCCATCTCTGGAAGATGGCTAATTAGTTCTAAAACTGTCCAGCTCTCTGTTGTTCCTTATCATTCCCCTAATCCTTTTTCTCTTCCTTAAATCTCCTTAAAGAAACCATATTAACTCCACAAATTATTTATTTGCCACATCTACAAAGAGAGGTAATTCCAGAAATGGAATCAAATGATTCAAAAGTTATTTCCTTACAAAGAAAAAGTTAATCATACCATCATGCTATGAGAGGGATAGCTGAGATTATTAGAAAGGAAACCACCTGGTGATGAATAATGTCATTGTTTGTATAGTTTGATTGTTGTCAACATTGTATAGGGATAGGGACGGGAAGCAGACTTGTGATTTCATTCGTGTAGGGAATTGATGAGTGAGGAAACTCCTTCAATCCATGCACGTTGACACTTCCTCTTCCATTTATAGTCTTAAGAGTGTTGCCTGGAGCTCTAGTAGGTTAAGTGACTTTCTCAGGGTCACACAGCCAATATGTAGCTGAAGCAGACTACTTTAGTCATACAGAAAAATTAAAATAAAACTGACTAGGGACTAACTTTATTATGTATCTGGAATGGATTGCCACCCATATCATGCCTCTCTGCTTGTCGTTGTTGATCATGACCATCATTATCATCAATATATAACAACATTTTAAAGATTTTAAAGCACAGTGTACATATAATTCATTTGATCCATGTAACAACCCTATGAGAGATATGCTGTTAACATATCCATTTTGCAGATATGAAAACTGACACTGAGAGACACTACCCAGGGTAGTGTCTAAGCCAAAATTCAAAAAAGGGTCTTTCTGACTCTATATCTAACATTCTATCTTGAAGCAACACCATATGAAACAATGAAAGGAGACTCAAAGAATTAAAGACCTGAATATTTGATCTAATGTAATGATTCCTTGACAGAAGGAATGCAATAATTTGGTTAGGAGTGTCTGTATAAAAGATAAATCTTTCTGTGGGAAACCTGAGAAGGGTATGGCAAATGATAAGAGTGTGAAGGGACAAAAAGGAAGAAAAGAGGAGAGAAGAAGAGGAAAGGGAAGAAGGTAGAAGAAGCAGAGAAGAAAAGAAAAGATGGTGGCAAGGAGAAGCTGCAATAGTAGCTATGGAAATTAAAAATGTCAATGTGCACAATGACATTTAGCAAAAGAGAAAAAAGGTTAGCAAAGAAGAACAAAAAAAGGCAACGATTGCAATATGGATGTCAATTGAATAGTCTTTAGTGAAACATTTTGGCTCCTGAAGAGACAGGTATAGGGCATGGCTATTGTGTTTGTTTCTTTATTAGGGAAGAAGAGCTTTATTAAGGAGTGGGGATGGCTAACACAAGCACATAATACCGTGTGTGTGTGTGTGTGTGTGTGTGTGTGTGTGTGTGTGTGTGTGTGTGTATGTGTGTGTAGAAGAAAACAGCCACCTGTGTATATTTCAATATTCCCTTCAGCTATCAATGTGTTGTACAGAAGACATGACAGCTGACATTTCTGTGGGTCATTCATTCATTGTACATAGTAACATGGTGATGAGTTAAATCATGGTAGATAGAGAACACATACAGTAGATATGAGGATAGTCACCTGATTTAAGAGGTGAGTCCTGGCCCCCAGAAGAGGCCAAAGGAGAATAGGAAATTAGTGTGCTATTTAAAAAGAATGACTCCCCCCCCACCACCAAAATGCCCCTGAATTATCAAGGAAGGGTTAAAGTGTACTCCCAGTGTTCTGTTTAATAAGACATGGAAGTTTAACTTTTTTGAAAGTTACCTTCAGTGACTTTTCATTGCCCCTAGCATAAAATGCAAACTCTTTCCACTGTAATCTAGTTCTGATACACTTTTTTAGGTCTATTTCATATTACTCTTCTCATACTTGATTTTTTTAAACCACAGTAGACTACTTTCTGTTTTCTTAAGGATACATGTGATCTTCAGTCTTCAAGCTTTGCCATAAACCATCTTCAGAATGATTGTTCAGAGATTATGGGATGATAAGAGAAGGATTTATGTTTTCTTTATGACAATTTAATCCTCAATAAAATATATGCATTATAGATCATCTTTTACTTTTTTTTGCCCTGCCTTAAGAAGATGGTGGGATAGTTTGATTTCAAGAAAGACTTCAGATGCTAAAATTATTTCCTAAATTTAAGTGTAAGAAAACCTACCTATTACTGATTCATTCCAACTTTCAAAGACTACAGTGTTAGAAAGATTATATAACTAATCATGCCAAGTAAAATATTCTTTACAACATATTATTTATTTAAGTCATAGACAGAATGAAGCAAGGATAAAGGAAATCTGGCTTCAAATCCTGCTTCTGACCCCCGCTGGCTGTGTGACTCTGGACAAGTCATTTAACATTTTTTGTTTCCCTCTCCGTGATTGCTCTAAGACTTTATGTTACACATAACTTGTCTATCTAGGAGAGAGTTCCCCTAGGAAGTTCTTCAGAAAGATTAAGCCATAGGACCAGACCCTTCCAAAAAAAGACAAAGAAGAGGAAGAAGAAGATGAAGAAGGAGAAGGAAAAGGAGGAGAAGGAGGAAGAGTTCAGCATAATAAACTATACATCACTTAGTTGAGTGCTACTAACAGAACTTACTCATTACTTTTGGTGTGTGAGTTGCTTTTTCTGTAAGAAAACAAACAAAGGCCAAATGACATACTCTATAACAGAAATAAAATTCAAAGAAAACATCCATATTATTCTGCAACCTATACATCAAGTATGTCTTGTCTTAAAAGAGTTAATGGACTGAAATTATTGCAATTTGAAAATGTTAGTGGAAATGTGCTTTTGAATAATTTTCATTGATAGCTGAATTAGTTTCTTTAGTGCAAGAAAACATGAGCTATTAAAGTACAATTAATCATCTGGGTTCCAAGAATGTGTTTATGCCTTTTAAAAAATATTCTTAGGAAATACCTACTTGTGAAACTAAATTTTCTCTGCTAAATTCTGTACCTTTAATAGAAATAACTCTGTAGGATTTAATAAAATTTGTTGAGAGTAAGTTTTAACACTCTGAATGCCATAAATATGCATGTAAAGACTGTCAGTTCTCTTATAAAGAAAGAAATTGACCACACAGAGGACATTTTACCTCATATCTTAGAAATAATCATCAAAAAGGAAACATACAATAAATCAAATTGTTCTGAAGATCTTTCTTAATAGCTATAATGCAAGATAGAAATACTCTACTGGATTGGTATTTAGTATTTTAAAACTCAGATATTCATTTCTGTGCAGATATGGGAAATATATTAGGTGGAACAAGATCATTACTAGCATGACAAAAAAATGCTGTCTTTTGGTGAAACAGGAAAGCATAGATAACATCTTCATTTCTTCAGCAATAATGTAACTTAAAAGGGTGGAATTTTAAAATGGTTGTTTTTAATCAGTTTCTCGATAGCATCCTCACTTACAAATGCTTTTCTTGTCAGATGTTTTATTTTAGAAAAATCTTAGAATTAAAACTTCACTATAGACTGATAGAAAATTCTTTTTCTCAGAAAATGTTGTTGGGATAATTACTGTTGTCTGGGGGTATATGACAGTATTAACTGCTGAAATAAGGTTTCATTCTAGTTGTTTGTTGTACTATTCCAAATAACAAAATATGAATTATAGATAATCCCATCTTTACACTTCACTGGAAATCTCCCATTGGAGACCTCTTCCCATTTGACAAGTAAAGGCAGCCTTTCATTATTTGCAGGAGAACTGGAAATTTAAAGTTGTGTCACTTGCCTCCACTTTCTTTTTCACTTTTTCTGAAAGCAAAGCTTTAAGTATTCCATTTATTTTTATCTTTCCTAAAATAATTTCATCTCATCTGCTTATTGATTTTACTGTAAACTTCTGAAGTCCTTCCATTAATATCTTCCTGATAATGAGAATCATAGAATACACCAGTTTGACCTTAGGATGTTCTACATAAGATAAATGCATTTGATGTATAGTCTACCCCCTACCCCATTCCCTCATACATGTTTTCTGTAGGTCTTGTCAAGACTTGCTAGTAAGAATAGAGCCATAAGATTAGTCTTTTTTTCTTTTAACATCAATCTCAATTCTGATTTTAAAACTATTATTATTACCACTGTGCTCTTTTTTATATTGCTTATTATTTTAAAATGATTCAGGGCATTATCAAGGTTTTGTCTTAATTATCATGATTATTATTGCACATTTAATCTGTTAACTTTGTCAGATGATTTTATAGTTCTTTTATGAGACTACAGCGGCTCACAAAATCTCACTGCAGAAACCTTTTCTGTTGCTTTAAAAAATGTATAGCAGCTTGTCCTGTCATCTAAACATCTTGAATATTTTCACGTATAAATATTTAGAATGCACACAAATGAGCACCTCAGCAGCAAAATATTGGTTAAATGTTTTACAAACTCAAGATTGATTACCTCTTGTGACATTGTGAGACTGCAGATTTTCTTTTCCTGTTGTGTCTGTTTATGGAAAAATATGCTAATCAAATGTGTGAATTTTTAAAGTAACTGCTTTTGATTACAACTTTGGTTTGGCTCACTCCCACAACAGACATCTGAAACAAAGACTCTTTATGAAAATAAATTTGTTTGACAATATTTTACACCTCACACTAAAAGCAACAAAAGTAACTGAAAGGAATGTTTATAATGGCACCAATTTAAACAATAGCTGGCACATTGTTAATGTAAACAGAGTTGCAAAGAACCTTAACCAACTGAAATGCTTGGGGATTGGAAGTTGTTCAAATTAATTTAATTTTCAGGTTAGAAATAAGAAAGATTCTTCATGTATTTTTTTTCTGAAAAATTTTCTAAAATGTATGGGACTACATCCTTAATTTAGTGAGTAAAGTAGAATCAAGATGTCCTAATTGTTCTTTGAGGACTGAGGATCTTGTAATCTTTAGGCTAAACATTCTGGAAATCAGTAATAAATACACAATGCTTTAATGATTGACTATATTTATTTTACAACAAGTAGAAGATTAAGTTGGTGATAGGCCTCTACTAATCATAAAATTCTCCCCTGTATTTCATTTCTGGGAGCAAGAAGCAAATTTATAAGAAAAAGTTGACGGCAGAAATAACATTCAACAAAGTCAGTGCTAAAGTATGTCTTAGGATCTGTACAGATTGACCGTGATCTCCTATATTTCCAGTACTGATAGGACAGTCGTTGAGGTGGGTAACAATGAACCCTAGGGCCTTCCAAAATCTTGAAGTATCTTTTCCGAATCAGCAAAGAAAGACTAAAGAACATTCAATATTTTAATGTTCAGCATATTTAGTAATATTCAGATTCCTCAAAAAGTAGTAATTTATGATGAATGCAAATTACTGACATTTATATAGTGCTTTAAGTTTGCTATGTATCCTATGCATTATCTCATTTGAGTCTCACAAAATCCTGACAGATAGTATAGATATTGTTACCTCTGCTTTGCATAGGAAGAAACTTAGACTTAGGGCAAATGAGTAAGTATTTAAGGCAAACAAAGCCTAAATCACTCAGTACAGCCTGTCTCATAATTCCAATTTCCAGGAGATCAGAGGAAATATTAATGCTCATAGGAATTAACAGTAGCTTAGGTATTATATAGTTCAGCTTCTTCATTTTATAGTTAAGGAATCTGAGATTCAAACATATGACTTTTCCAGAGTCACAGCCATTGTATGGTTGAGCTAATATTTGGACCAAGGCCTCTAACTTCAAATCTAACATCCATTCTATTCACTGTACCACAAGATCTAAGTTTATTACTGACTCTGCCATTGATTTCTGTGTTATCAGTTTAAATTACTCTTTTTTTCCCCTTTGCCTCAGTTTCCTCACATGCAAAGTAGGATAAAACTACTTTATCTAAACGTTCACAGGAATATTATGAGGTTCCAACTAATGTTTTCATAGCTAATCAACAGGTAAATGGGGCATCCAGGTGGCACAGCGGATAGAGCGCTGGGTTTGGAATTAGAAGAATCATCTTCCTGAGTTCAAATCTGTCCTCAGATACTTACTTAGCTGTGTGACCCTAGTCAAGTCATTTAACCCTGTTTGCCTCAGTTCCTCATCTGTAAAATGAGCTGGAGAAGGAAAGGGCAAACCACTCCAGCATCTTTGTCAAGAAAACCCTAAATGGGGTCACAAAGAGTTGGACATGACTGAATGACTTAACAACAACAATAACAACAGGTAAATGTCAATTAGAAATGAATATTTCTCAGAGGTTTGGAAGAAAAGATCACTAGTCCTACATAGGACCATTGAGATCCGTTCCAAGGCTCTGATTTTGCAATTCTAGGCCTATGGATCTGGTCATACTACTGATACAACTGTTTAAGCTTTAGATTAATGGGGCATTTTTGTGTAACCAGGCTTCATGTACAGTATATAATGCTTATGCTTTTTTTAATTGGATAAACACATTAAGTATATAATTAAATGCAGTGTTATTTTTGCAAACAAACACATTCTGACATAAAATGTAGTCATTTCCTGTTGAGTTTCTGACAAACTCTCTGATTCCTCTATTATTACCTTTGCGCTCTTTCAGCTGCTTCTTTGGAGCTGTTTTTTCTATAGAAAAAAAACCAACATGGTTTAGGGTAGAAGGAACACTTTTATTTAGCCTCTATGTGTTGAAACTAAAGTTTCTTGAGCCAATGTCAAAATTTTAACTCCTATTCCCTCAGGGAATAATCACAGCTTGCACTTATATAATGTTTTTCAATTACAAAATGCTTTCATATACACGAACTAATTTGATGCATCGAGGATGTCCCAAAAGTGTTAGTGAAGTTTTAAGCTTTAACAACTTAAAACTATACTAAGATTTTTGGGACAACCCATTTAACAACTCTGTAATGCAGAAAGCACACATATCAGATGGCTAAGTAGGTCAGACATTTCCAGGCTCTCCAGATTTCCTCCAAAAACAGAAAATCAGAATGAAATGAACATAAAGCAACAGAAATAAAGGGTTAGGGGCAGCTAGGTGGCACAGTGAATAGAGCTTTGGCCTTGGAGTCGTGAGGACCTGAGTTCAAATCTAGCCTCAGACACTTAACACTTATTAGCTGTGTGACCCTGGGCAAGTCACTTAACTCCGATTGCCTCACCGAAAAGCAAAAATAAAATAAAATAAAATAAAAATTTAAAAAGGGTTAAAGCAGTTGTCCTTCTAGGATAACTTGAGAGGACTTCAGAAAAGACAGGGCCTCCAGGGGCTGAGGTTTGGCCAGAACGAAGTGTAGACACCTCCAAGCTGACTCCACTGAATCAACAAAGGGAAGACTCTGAGGGTAATTCCATTAGGAAGTGGACTAGGCCTCAAGAAATTTCATCTTAACTCTCACCTCACAAACTCTCATACAAGGAATAGCAGATGGCTGAGTGGAAGAAGACTTAGGCAGCACCCCTCCCCCCAAAAAATAACAAAAAACTAATGGCAGGGCTAACAGACTTGTCCAAATTTCCATGTTATTTGTCCTTTGATTTTTGTAGAGGACTAATAACATTACGGTTGATGTCTTGACTTAGATTTCAGTGAGGTAGAGTTGTACAAGGTTGTTGGCCTCACCTTTTCTTCCAGGGTCATTGAAGTCCAGTGGCAAGGCAAAAATCAAAAGGACTGGTGATGGCCCAGGATGCAGTGGATGGCCTTGATTTTTTTTTGTCTGACCGAGTCCTAAGTGCTCTACAGAGCCTGCTTCAACCTCCTTCAGAGAGAACACTAACAATGGTCTTCTGACTCCAGGACCAGTAATGTTTCTAATATATCATGTAGCATTGGATGAAAGGGAATTTCATTAATGAAAATTTAGGGATAATAAGGGCACGCTGCTTTATAACATAACTTCTGACCTCTGTGGCTGTCATCAACAATTGACATCTGCCATCTTCAGAGTGAATAGAATCTTGGACTTGCAATCAGGAAGGCCTGGCTTGGAAACCCACCTCTGATACTTAAACTAGCTGCATGCACTTTTTAACTTTCAGTCTCCACATTTATAAAATATAGATAAAGTACCTAATTCCTGCCTCATAGATTTGCTAGGGAGCTCAAATGAGGTGATTAATGGATATAAAGCACTATTACAAATGTCAGTAGTTGCAAACATTGTTATACTGCAAAGTCACTGTTCATATTTTAAACAAATACCTTAAAATGGCAAAACATATGGCATTAGCATGTTATTATTACTACATTTTCACTAGCAGATAATATGATGCACACACCTATTTGAGATTTGTAATCTTTGCCTTTGCTTTCTTTTTCAGGTTTTTCTATTTTTTTCTTATCTAGAAAATATAAAAAGATATGTGGTTAAAATTACTATTTCTTCAAGATCAGACACACATGGATAGAATACATGAATGGAAGATTTCTAAAGGTTTTTGCTATGAGGGAGATGTCATATGAGCTGGATAAGATTTTAGGGAGTACCTAACAATGTATTTTATGAATGAAGAGTTTGAGACTCAAGAAAGACTTGCCTAAGGTAGCAAAAAGCAGAGGCCAGGTTTGAACCCAGAATTTCTGACCCTGTACCCCAATTCTTTCAATGTGTGAAGGAAGACCAGTACTCTACTTTTATGTTTCACTTATGGGTTCCCTGGGCTTCATATAGTCCTTTTGCGTGTATTGTTTGGTGTGTTGGTGAAATGAAGCAGTTAATAATCTTTCTCTCAGGTTACAGAACCTGCCTCACTCAGCAAAGTCAACAGAGAAAATTCTCAGAATTCCAGTTCAGCAAAGAGCATTTCTAAGTAATTTTCTCTGGACTACTTAGAAAAGTTGAGGTAACCCTGAAATAAGCTTTTAAATGTCCCATTGTTCTTTGGGATAGTCTGACCTTCCCCAGAGATGAACTTTTCTACATACTGATTTTTAAAACATATGTTTTCCAAATGTCACTGGTTGATAGAGAATGAGCATCCCCTAAAGAGAACATAGGCCCAGCTTAGAAAGAGAAAAGAATAGGAAATAGAATGAGGTCCTTTGTGCTTCAGCATTGCTCACTTCCTGTAATGGGTGAAGTGGAGAGTTAATGAGATGAAGGAAGGAAGCATCAAACTTACTCTAATATTATTCCCAAAGTCTAAATTGACTATTTCTTTCAAGTTTTCTTGTGATCTTAAATTCAGCCTGCTGTCACTAACCTCATCCTCAACTCACTAAGTTATTTTATTGTTGTTTTTCAGTTGTTTGCAGTCATGTTCAACTCTTCATGACTCCAGGTTTTCTTGGCAAAAGTACTGGAGTGGTTTGCTCTTTCATTCTGTAGCTCATTTTAAAGATGAGGAACTGAGGCAAACAGATGTTAAGTGATTTGCCCAGGGTTACAAAGCTAGTAGGTGTCTGAAGCTAGATTTCAACTCAGGAAGAGGAGTCTTCCTGACCGTAGGCCTGCCACTGCACTGGGCAAGAGGAATATAAAAAGAAGGCCAAAATGACATAATCTTTGTTTTCAGGAAGTTCATAAAGCTTTTCATTTGTCATATTTCCAACCCCACTTACACTGGTTATAGTCATCTATGCTTGTGTCATAAGGTCCTAGATATAGAGTGCAGGGGTCATCTAGTACCCCCTCCCCTGACTGTATTCTAGTTGAGGAACCTGAGGTCCATAAAGGTATTAATTGTCTGAGGTCACACAGGTACTAAACAGCAGAACCAGGATTTTAACTCAGATCCGTGCTTCCCCATATCCAGCTCTTTGCATTTCATTATTATTCCCCTCCTAACCTGTAAGTTCTATGAGGGGGGTGATTGTATCTTATTTCAAGTTTTCACCTACAAGATGCAGCAAGATGCTAAAAATGGAGTGGATACTTAATGAATACCTGTTTGACCATGGAAAAATTATTTAATGCCTCTAGGCTTAAATTCACTCCTCTATAAAATGAAAGCATTGGATTAGATCACTTCTAAGATCCCTTCCACTTATAAACTATGAAATATGTGTTTATCTCAATTAAATATTTATTTAATCTATTATTTGTACAATACATTATGTAAAAGAATGGTAATATAAGGAGAAATCTAAAGAAATTCTTTTATCTTCCATTATTGATTGAATCTAATTTAATCAATCTTAATATTAGTCAGATAGATGAATACTAGAAGCTGAAATAACCAGGCAATATGGACTTGAGATTACTGAGTCAGATAACACAGTGCTTTAAGAAATCAGATTTTCAAATAATGATATTTCCATATTGGAGGCTTTGTGTACTGAAGACACATGTCTGAGGGCCGTGTGGTAATCAGACTGTGCAGTAATGACACGATTCTGTTCCTTTACTAAACTCACTTGGATGGGGGCCAAGATAGAACTATGTAATATTAACTTCAGATCTATTAAGTATCACATAACATCAAGGCTTTGTTGACTTATTTTACATTAACTATGATTACTGATCACGTCTCCATATTCTCAACAACAAATAAACTTTTAAAAAAGTTCATTAGGTCATTAATGTATATTTTACATAGAGCAGAGGACAAAAAATGAAATCACTATGATAGCCATCATAAGTTATTATCTGACCAGTTATAACAACTGAATGTCATATCCCTAGGCATATGACATATGAAATAAATCATTAATATACTCAAATATTTCTTATTTTTTTAAAAAAGACATGATTATATATCAACCTTAGAAATATTTCATCTCTTATATCCTTTAGAAAAGACAACATTTACCTGATTCTTTGATCTCTGCAGCCACTTATTTAGAAACAGGAATGTTGAGAAAAAGAACAATGGAAATGACAAGAATGTAGCAAAACATTTCGGCAGGATCAAAATTTCAATGATAGCAACTAAAGAAGGATATTAAATAGCAAGCTAGTAATATTCATTAATATTCATGAATGAAATCAAGAGGCAAATGGAAAAGTTGGAAATCTAATTGTTACTAAAACAATAACCTAGCATATATTTTGAAAATAAAGTCATAACTCGAGCCAGTCAAAGACTATTTATTAGAGTGTGGCTCAAGTAGATGTGACTAAAATATATGATTGGTTTGATCAGCTGGGACTTATCTACACGATCATATTGAATTGTTGGAACCCTAAGATTTCGATTCTGATATTCTTTGTTGTTGTTCAATCATTTTAGCTTGTGGCTGACTTTTCATGACCCCGTTTGGAGTTTTCTTGGAAAAGATACTGGTTTGCCATTTCCTTCTCCAGATCATTGTACAGATGAGGAAACCAAAGCAAATAGAGTTAAGTGAATCACCCAAGGTCACATAACTAGTATTTGAAGCCAGGTTTGCACATAGGAAGATGGATCTTTCTGACTCCAGGCCCAGCACCCTAACCACTGAACTACCTAGTTCCAATACATTCATGTAGTATATATTTGCTTCCCAAACTGGTCTTGACATGGTTATTCACACCTAGATTATTTTTTTCAACCACCTAAGATTTCCCCAACATTCTGTTATCAAAACATGAAGATTATCCCATCTTGCTGATTTAGAGTCAGCAGAGTACAATGTGGAGAGTGCATGACTTGAAATCAGGAAGATTTGGCTTGGATTGCACCTCAGACACTTGTTA